GCCGAACACCCACAAACTATTAATGCATCAAGAATTAGCTATGTAAAAATCCGTCTTTTCTCAGCCAAGGGCTTGCCCTTGCTCCATTTTAAAGGGATTCGGAAGCCACAGGTTCGCGCTCCCCAGGCTGTGCCTCCAGAATTCAGCATTATCGGTTAGCCGATTGATACAAAGTGCGCCGCTAAGATTTTCCCAACCTTCCCGTATTGTTGTTAAATACGTCTATTTTCAGCTTTTGTGGCTTGGGTAATATGCGGAAATGCCCTTTTCTATAGTAGGTGATAAAACCGGCCCAATTTCCGGTTATTCAGCTTCAAATACCACTTGAATGCCACTTTCGCTCTTTTTCAAAAGTAAAATCACGCTTAATTATTGAGATTTTTTATTTTTCGGGTTGGAGCTTGTCAGAAACATTTTTTCCGGTCGAAATTAGTGTATATTTTCAGTCCCTCCACATTTTTTCGAAGACTTTCCATGATTTTTTAATGTTTACCAAACAATAGTGTTTTCATCTAACGTTCTGCCACCCCAATCCTTTCGATGTATTGTTTTCCGAAATTTACCCCCGATCACTTGGCACAGCGACGGAGTTACACGGCGCGTTTGCCTAACGGCTTCCCCCACCGGGGAGCTTCTTTTATTTTCGGCCGTCGTCCCTTTTTCTTTTGACCAGCCCACACAATTCGACACAAAAAAAACGCGGAGCAGTGACACCAGAAGCAAGTAGTTGATCAGCTTCCCAGTTTTCCCCGCTATCTTTCGCAATATTTGTTCTGGGAAAACACAACCACGTGCTGTAGTTCTTGACGTCAGTTTTACGGTATAACTGAAGGCTAGGACTTGCAATTCTTGGATTCGCTATCTCGATGGCTTTTGCAGAACGGCTAAAAGGTGGGTTTTTCGGATCAGATTTGACGTTGTTCCTGGTTTGTAGCTGCGGGGTTTTTGGCTTTTCCTACCCGGCAAATGGCCTTTGTTTGATTGGTTTTTATGGTGAAAAGTGGCCATTCTGGGGGGGAAGGGCGGAAACCCATTTCTCCTAAATCCATTTCTCATAAACCCATTTCTCATAAATCCATTTCTCCTAAACCCGTTTCTCATAAATTCCATTTCTCATAAATTCCATTTCTCATAAATTCCATTTCTCATAAATTCCATTTCTCATAAATTCTATTTCTCATAAATTCCCTTTCACATAAATGTGACATAATTTTCAAAACTTTCACATAATAAACATCAACATAAACTTTCACATAATTTATGCTGTCACATTTCCCGGAGGAACTCGATCGTCCCACGATTTCGAGTCTGCACAAGGTCGGCTGAGGAAGCGGAAGGCGATGTTCGGAGAGTTGCCGATCACCACGTCGCTCATTGGATTAGTGATTCCACCGGAATTCGCTGAGTACCAGAACGGTAGCGGCAAATTTGGCAATTTCGCTTGACTTCAATATAAGGACATACTATCGTGGTCATTTTGGTGAACGTTCGATTTTAACGGTGAACGAAGTAAAATTTTGCAAAAAAAAACAATGCTAGGAGAATTTATGAGAAATGGATTTATGAGAAATGGAATTTATGAGAAATGGGTTTATGAGAAATGGAATTTATGAGAAATGGGTTTATGAGAAATGGGTTTAGGAGAAATGGAATTTATGAGAAATGGGTTTATGAGAAATGGGTTTATGAGAAATGGATTTATGAGAAATGGGGTGCAATCGGGGGGAAGTAGCGCATTTCCTGCAGAGTTTGCCTAAGGAATGAGCAAAAATGGGTAATGTTCTAGATTTTGCTTTGTCTTAGGATGATAAAAATCGCATGTTTTTCTGGTCTGCCCTGGTCTGTTTGGTACTGTATTTTTTTGATAATATAATGGACCTTATTTAGTCAAAAGCGACGCAAATTCGAACTACGCTTTTATTTCGCTTTCGATTCTGTTTTATTGGACCAAACGAAAAATTGGTGTTTTAACGGGTTATGTCTTGTGAAGACCTAGTAGAGATAAAGGAGCGCTTTTAGCATTTCTATTCCCTTTGGTGAAATTCTCTTGAAATATTCTTGAAAGGTACATTGTTTCGTTCCTGCGCATCTACCAAGACACAACGACTCGCCGACCCGAATACAGGAACACCGCCCAGAAAAAGTTAAAACATGACTGTCTAAGCCGTGCAAATCCATGCCCCCCCTCCATCCTCGACCAATCCCCCCCTTCCGACTCATTTGCCTTATCCGCGTTTTGCGTCTTCATGTCAGCGTCGCTGCATTGGCCAGTGAAAGCCGCAGGCATTCGGGAAATAAATCGAACAATTTCTTGCGGATAATCCCAGGGGCTCGCCGCCGAGCCGGCACCCTAACATCAAGAAAAAAATTAGAAGACGCCCGATCCGTTGTGTTGGGAGGGGCTGTGAGGGGATTCCCTTTCCCCCTCGTTGCCAAATACTACACCTCGCCTTTCTCATTTCAGAAAATTGGCCGCTGATTCGGGTTGCGGCTTTTGTTCGACCCCAGACACCCTGGAGGTGGCGGGCCCTAGAATTCGTGGATTCATTCCTTGGCTAGAGGGCCTAGGCCTGGATTCGATTTTTTAAAAGATGCCCCGCGCGTTGTACCGGCAAAGGTCACTACGGTATTGTGACGCGAATTCGATGGACGGGGAGATGTCGGATGCGAATCTCAGCAATTTGAGCGAGTCGATCGTGTCGGCGGGAGGTCGGTTTTTGAGCAGCTATGGCTTCCTTTGACCTAACAACCACTTTTTATGACAGATTTTAATGTCTATACTGCCGTCAATGAAAAATGGAAATTAAACATATGGGGCGGAAAGTTTAGCTTTGTTATAATTAAAAAAATCTTTGAACGCATTTAAAAATGCTTTATCTTTTCCTTGACAGTTTTAATAGCGGGTTGATTGCCCAATTACTCTCCATCTTTCCAGAAAAATCGCCTCGTTGCCCCTCTAATAACTTCAAATTTTGGAAGCACCTAGAGTGCACCTGCCGAAAAGAGTCTATCCAAGCATTTTCCGCTGCCTAGATTTTTCCATGCCACGTAAATAATAATTTCATAGCTTAATATGGATATAAATTTCATCAACTGCTATAATAGGTATTTTTAAGACCGGAAAAGTACGACTACCCTTTTTCCTTAATCCCCCAATCGATAGAACTTGCCGCAGCCATACTTGTATCCTTGATTTTGGGCATCTGACCAACAGTCAAATCTGAAGATCATAAAAACTGTGGAGCTCCAAAAAATCCCGTGTTTTCAGACGACTAAAAGGTCTCGGGAAGCATTGCCGGATGTTTAGGGTTCGATTTCAATCGAAAAGACTGGGTGGGAGGGGACAAGTGATAGAATTTCTTCACTTTTGATTTGGACCACGTTTTTTGGTAGAGAACGCCTTTCTGGCAGACACATTTACGCACATTTCCCAGGCTAATGAAGCAAGGCACGGCCCGGTTTTTGTTCCGGTTTGATTATTGCGATTTTTCGGAATTCCTCGAGTTTTTGAAGCTACTTTAGTTAGTGAATTTTTTATTTTAAGCTACAATTTGGTCACCTCGAAAAGTAGTTGAGCAACTCTTAAAATGTATTTTCGTAATATTAACGTTTGACGAGAATTCATGTATACCCTTTGCGAATGAACTCCACAGTTCCATGGACTTGGATCTTTTTTTATCTTTTTTTTGGCGCGCTCTTGAACACTCGTTTGAGCACCGTCTCAACCCATCCTCGAGCGAAAGCAAAAAAAATTAATGAAGGATCCGCCCTTCCATAGCTTGCTCCAAACCACAAAAACCCTCCTCTTCCCCATCGAGGAGCATTATTTTCATTGATGATGTCGCTTTTGGAGAGGCAGAAATACCCTGTGAACCCCATCCATCATCGACCCTCTAAAAGTGTCGTCGGCCGTGGGAGGTGGTGGATCCACAGCTTCTCCCTCTTCTAGAGTAATGCATTTTTGGGGGGTGGGACCGGAAAGAGGGGGGATGGAGGACGGACGCCTGCTCATCTGACCCCCGAAAAAGGGGGGGTAGAGGCGGAGGTGCTCAACTTGGGGCTAAAGAGCAGAATTTGAGCTTGAGATGGATGAGCATGGGGTCCTGAAAGGTGACAAAATCAAAACCTGTTTTTTTCTGGCCCCATATGCAAATTTTTCAGTCAAATAATCGGCAGAGATTGGGGCGAGGCAGGAGGGAGCAGAGAAAGTTTAGGCTAATTTTAGAACCAAAACCCGTGTTGCCGGAATTTTTCCAGGGCCTATGCCTAAGCCTAAGCCAAACTTAAGCCTAAGCCTAAGCCTAAGCCTTTAATTTAAAGAACCTATGGAAAATCCTAAACCTACTACCTTGAAACCATGCTAATTCGCACCTCCTTCCCGAGTAATACATTTTGCGTCGACTCCTCATCTACCCCTTCAGAAGCCTAGAAGGGGTGCTAGCCACCCATCGCCAAGGTCCTCAGCCGGGGCCCTAAGCCAAAAAAGCGTGTGGCCGGCCGGGCTGGCGGTGGGCCCTAAAGGGGAGGGGCTCCAGGGGAAGGAGAGGGGCCATCCTCCCGCTCATACCCACAGACACACACACCCGGACCAACACAGGACATCTTGCATCTTCTCGGGCTTTTGGCTGGGCCCCCCGAGTCGAATTCCTCCCTCGAATCTTATTTCCGGGCCCGAAGCGAACGACCAAGAACCGGCACCGATCCTCCAAAATCGGCTAAAGACCTCACTTGATGGTCTATAGTATTAATTTTTATTCGTTCTCTAAAATCTGAAATCGATCTGTATCTTGACAAATTCCCAAGCCCCGCCCCCTCTAACTTTCAACTACCAATTAAAAGTGGGCGGACCCGACACACCGCGTACAGAGGCGTACCCGTAGTCCCCCGAACTGTTAGGAAGGCGTCCCGGTGAATGGATGGAGGCGGTGGCACCCCTCCGGAAGGGCGCCGTCGTCTCCATGTCCCCTTCTGTAGCCAATCTGCTCGCCGCCCAGCGGACGATGCTCGACATGGAGCCCGAAAAGAAGGAGAAGACACGGTTTTTCAAGGTGGGTGACTTTTTTCACGGGCCTTTCTGAAAAAAGGAGCTGGTGGATAAGATCTGGAGCTAAGGTTTTAAATTTAGTTTTTGGATAGCAAACATTTAAGAAGTTTAAAATAGCGCACTTATCGGACGAGAAAAGGGGTTTTTATGCTGATTTCGGTATTTCCTGGATAGCATTTAATAAGCGCTAAAGTTGCCTCCTAGTAACTCTAGAAAGGGTATTTTCAACTCATAAATTTAGCCCGGTAAGAAATTTCTGACCCGGGATAAATTGTGACAATTTTTAGCTGAGCACGACACGCGCTTTCGTTCTTCTGCGTTTTTTTGTTAGCATGATCCCATAGAGGTCGATCTCTCCTCCCATGAATCAAATTCTAACTTGCATCAACAGAAGCCTTTCGTTAAATCGAATCCCTTCCACCTTCCCTAACGGCAAAGTTCCTCGTCTTCCTCCCCCCCCGCCGTGGCCGTCTCTCAAATTTATCGCCCACTTTGCTTTTTGCCTGCAAAGGAGCACAAGGGAAGGCCCGCTCCGTTCGCCGGGACAAACTTTTTCAAAACCATCCCCCGCCCGGAAATATGGCCGCTTTCCGGTCATCCGAGTTCCGTGAGAATCCAGTGGACAGGCTGTGAATTTTGCGGCGTGATTTCTGGACGCGCGGGGTAGTTGAGGTGGAATTAGTCGCGGCGTGAAAACAATTGCCGTTCGGGAAAATGGTCTAGGAATTATGGGTTGGCCGCGCGGTGCCGCGGAGGCAATTCCGCACAACAACTGGCACGGGGGAAATTGAAAACGTATTTTTCAAAATATAAAAGTTGTATAAAAATTGAAATCAGGGTTCAGACACCGCGACTCGGGTCGAGAAGGATGCGGAATCGACTTGTACAGAAAAATGGGATCTGCAATATTGCTTTGAAGAACGTACCAAAGCAAAGGCGGAAATACTTTAGGTATTTATTTAGAGTTTTAACGCCATAACTCACGTGAAAATTTGCATGTCACAGCCTATTTTCAGCGATATCTTTACGACGGTTATCGAAATGAAATGGAGATGGTGCCTTCTCTACTTTTCGCTCAACTTTGTCCTCTCGTGGACGTTTTTTGCGTTGATTTATTATAGGTAATGGCAGAGCGTATTTTCAACGTTTATAATTCGATTTAAAATTATCTTTATTAATATACCTTGATGTAATCCAATTTACTTGAATTGAAGGTAACTAATAAAAACTAATTTAGCATTGCCAATTCCCACGGTGACCTCGAGCCCTGGAACATGAAAAGTACAAACTGGACGCCGTGTGTACAAAATGCCGACTCCGAGCTCAATTTCTACCTCTTCTCCTTCACCACGCAGACGACGATCGGTTATGGGTATCGGTGGGTCTTTTAATTGCTCTGTTTTTATTTTTATTCTGATTATTTTATTTCATACCCGGACACCTCGGACCCTGAGTTACCAGGGAAACAATATTTGAGCTGTTGCTTGAACTGCCAAACTTGAAGCAGCCCAGCTTGAGTTTTCTAAGATAATTTAGGTAGGGCTGGGTGGTTAATAGAACCGTGAACGCATACAAATGACTGTAAAACGTCAATGTAATGGATATTATAACATTATCAACTAAAATCTGTGAGACCTGTGATCAAGAAGCCGATCGCAGGTAGAATCGCTACGATCGAGAAAAGAATAAGAAATATACCGATCCCCAGCGTCATGAGCGTCTATAAAGCTCGAACTTAGTTTCAGAAAGTATAGATTTGTATACCTGGACGAACAACATTGAGAATGCGTGGCGCTGGGCGCGTAGTCTTTTCGGCGATATCCTTGCGGCCATGGTTTTGCTGCAGTAGTGAAAATAGACTGTAGTGCATGAGAATACACTGGTCCCCATAATTATGGAGCCACCCACAATTTTCCGAAAATCTCAATTTCTGGCGGCTTTCGTGAAACACTTTCTATTAGTGAAAGAAGCCGTATATCATCACAACTTTGCACGACAAGTCCGTTTTTTTGATTCGTGGACACAAAAAATTTTTACGAAAACTTTTGCCCGACGCAACTTTCAAGTTGGTAGCGTCGTGCTGTGGGCAGCCATTTCTTCAGAAGGACGAGTCAAATTGTGCTTCGTCTCTCATAAAATGAACCAAGTCGACTACCGACAAGCGTTGCGATGGGGAATTCTGCCATTTTGGCGAAGAAATCGGATCCGAAGGTTCATTTTCCTGCAAGATGACGTCCCTCATTCGAACTCAGGACTGGTGTCGAAACCGAGTAATCGATCTCCTGGCCTGGCCAACCTGTTCCTCTGCCCTGAACATCACTGAAAACGCTTCGGGGTCCATGGTACGCAAGATTTACCATGGAAACAAGACTTATCGGTAGGTAGGCCAGCCCAATAAGGCCATAATCGACGCGTGGCATCAAGTCGACCAAAACCTGCTCGCTAGCCTCTATCTGAGCATCGGCAACCGTCTTTTCCAGTTGGTACAAGGAAATGAAGCCGTCACCGGTTCTTGGAATTTTTTTCAGCGATTTCTTATCGATTTTCCATGTTTTATAAAAAATTTTCCAGAGTGGCTCCATAATTATGGGTTTTTTTCAAAGAGCGTTTTAGGCGAAAGTTTTCGTAAAAATTTTTTGTGTCCACGAATCAAAAAACGGACTTGTCGTGCAAAGTTGTGATGATATACGGCTTCTTTCACTAATAGAAAGTGTTTCACGAAAGCCGCCAGAAATTGAGATTTTCGGAAAATTGTGGGTGGCTCCATAATTATGGGGACCAGTGTAGTAAGAATACTAGGACGTAAATTACGCAGAGTATGGCGATTGGGATAATATACGACAGTGATAATTGTAATTCGATTGGGTAGAGTAGCAGCTGAGCCGTCCCTCCGAAAGAATCACTCACCTACCAAGACATTAATAACAAAAAAAACCGGCCCACCATTCTCGCTGGTGTTGGGACCGGCTTAAAAGCGAGTGTGGCCACGAGTATAGAAACTACGAAGGCGTATACCAAAAGTACGTAAAGTCCAGGACGATATTGCAACCATTGTGCACGATAGGAGCCAAATAGTACCGCTTTAAAGCGATATTTAAACGAATTGATGTTGGCCCGGCAGCAGTTGACAGAAACGAGTCCTAATCGGCCCTACCCAAAACCATTGATTGTTCATTCCGGGGTAAAACCTTGTCAACAGCGTCATAGAAAATGCAATGATGCCATGCGCACCCTGTTCGAAATACGGAAGAACCACAGTAGCAGTTGTGTGGGTGAAGATGAACGAAGATATCTAGGTAATGTGGAGCCAACGAAAAACGATCGTGAACACACCATTGAGTCAATTATATAAAATCGATATTTTATCATGCCCCTCGGCGTCGCCACTGCCTCAACTAGAGTAAGCCCCCAAAAATCGGCGAAGCAACCGCCAGGCAGGTTGTTGAGATGTAAAGGCGATATGGTCACACATCATAGTAAGTTCTATTCGACATTATCGCAAAAATAAAGAACCGGCGGTCGATATGTAGTTCTTGGGGCCTCAACCTTGATCACAGTTCCACAGTGGCAGGTGCTGCCGGAAAGATATGAGAAACACTAAGTTCAACAAAAAGCTTGTTTTTCGGGGGAACACTGTGCATTTGGCAAGATTATAGTGATATTAAACGCATATACGCTACCGTGCCAAAGTGCTGTGTTTGAAAGTTGGCTACGCTACAGCTTAGGGATGATAGTATCACATTACTTTACTAATTGCTCGGGCATTGAATGACAATCGAAACTATCGTTGCACGACGGTTCACCACACTCCCGCCGAAGAGTTTGGCATACAGAAGGGCAACATGCATTCGATATGGTCTGGTTGTCAAAAGCACGGCGATTCCGTACAGTTGGCTGTAGAACATTACCAGGATTGAGGAGATTATGTCGTTGACTACGATCAACCTTTGGCGAGCTGAAACGCCTAACCTTCCACCATTCTCTCCATTCCAATAGCGACAGTCAGGAGTGTGGAGTTGACAAGGAAGATTTGGATTCCAAGAGTTAGTCCGCCCTAGAAAAATGTTGCGTAAAATGAAGCTTTTTTACTAACCTGAACGGAGAGCGCGTAGAACGCATGACGTTGTGCCGATAGGGTGGTCGGGGAAATACGCTGGGAAAAGGTTTTGCTGTAATAGAGGGAATAGTAGGTGGTGCAGATAAAGAGCATGAAGATGCCGACGTAGCAGCTACCAAGTAGCGTGAATGGGATGAACCAGAAAAACGAAAATCTGTAGCGCATTGCCGTGACCTGCCGCGGCTGTAGTCCCGTGAAAGAATGGGTCATCTAAAGGAATTGAAGATAGGTTGCTAGCTGATCGACGAAAATTTATATCTGCATAATTACCATGACAATCGATACTGGGCCACCTTCCACGGCCAGATAAACATTTGTGATTGACGTGAAAATTCCGTAGGCCAGCAAAATGTACAGGCAGAACCGATACTTTTTCCACAATGCTCTGTGCCGCCCAAACAGTACGCTCTCAAAGCGATACTTGAATGAGTTGATATTGGAGCGACAGCAATTTGTGACCGCGATGGCTAGCACACACTAGAGTCCCGCATTCATATCGAGAGCTTTCCTACCCAGACCAACTGGCAGTTCGTTTCCGGAGCTATGTTGGCCAATAAGCTCATTGATAGCGTTTGCAGGCCTTTTTCATCCTGTACAAAATAAGGAAGCAATATGATGATGCAGGTATGGCTGAAGGTGTAGGAAGATATCTGGATTTTGTAAGCGTAGTCCCCATCCGTCATCCAGTACTTACCAGACTATCAAAGATGTAATATCTGTAGCGCATCATCCTGACCGGGGTCGCCACCACCACCAAATAAATCAACATTGCAAATATGGGCGTTGCTACCGACAGGCACAGAGTTGTGATATACGTTCGATATGGTAACGCATCGTAATATACTCTTTCCGGCATGTTGATAATAAAGTTACAGTAACTGCCAACGATCGATGGGTGTTGTGCGACTTTTCGAAAATTTGGGAAACGTTAAAGCCGCATTTCTGACGCAGGTGTTTCATACGGGTGCACCGCCTCAAGTACAAATCATGCCTGCAAATGTTGTTCTCTCATGGTCAGCAATTTTATAAGGGTTTTATCATCTTTTATCATCCATGATACGGCATGGTTTGTTAGGTCTCGGCATTGGCTGCACAATCGAGATTTCGCGCGCGGCCGTCTTCTTCTTTGACGTTCTGTTCTGGTGGTGGTATAAGGAACTGATTTCGTGTTCAACTAGGCTAATTTTAAGCCTCCCTAGAACTTGCTTAACGTGGTTATAGAATGGCCTGGTGGTCAGAAGTAGCATTATGGGGTAGAACAGCCCGTATGGTTGAAGTAGGATGACAGCGCTCATGTTCGTCGCTAAAAGCGATCTTATGCTTCTTTTCAAAAAGCAAAACCTTTAATCCATGCGCTGCTTTTAGATAAAATGGATACGAACACGCAAAGGACCACAATGAATCCAGAAACAAGCGTCGAGAGACACTAAAATACGCTCGCTGAAGGTCAACGACCAAATACCTGTACCAATAACGTCAAAAAGGCAACCTTTTGCGCTCGCATCGTTGTTTTCGATAGTTTTATGGCCACGGTTTGGTTATGGTAAAGACAATAGTAAGTGGAGCCAAAATAGAATAGGAACGCAATGATGTAGGAGAAAGCAAGTATTGTAAAAGGGCCTATGTATTTCCAAGAAGAGGTGATGCTATTGACAAATACTAGGTTTATGGACTTATCGGACCCATTTAGCGTTTCCTAGAATAAGAGCGTGTTTGCTAACTGCCGCACTTACAAATTTGAATCTGCCCAAAGGCACGAGGCCATACACCAGTGTGAGGATCGTGCAGATCAGTGCGTATGTAAACATCACGTAGGCCATTCGAGTACCAACACGCACGCAAAAAAGGTGATACTTGCCGACGGCGACACATTCAAAGCGGTGTTTGAAGCAAAGTATATTACTTCTACATACATTGATAGCACTCAGGGCAAATATTGACTGAAATCGGAGTTATCTAAAATGGCTGGCAAAGAATCAAAGCCTACCATAGCAATTGTCCACAAAAGGTTTCCATCAGAAAACTGCAAAACTGCAACCGAGAAAAAGACGAGCTCCGCATTCTCTTCTTTCCAACAAAAATAAGGTCCATAAATCGCGATGATCACGGCGTTGACGATGTAGCAACCAACCTTGACGTTTGATAGCCTTCAGTAGACGCAGACCTACCAGGCTATCAATCATATGAATTTTGTATCCTTCCATGGGTTTCGGCGTCGCTATCGATGTTATGAAAAGCATGAAACCGGAAGCGAGGGTTGATAAGATCAGGAAGACTGGTGAAAGGACACTTCTGTAAAGCATGACGTCACGGCATAAGATTGCCGGGGTTTCATCAGCCATGTCACCTTAAAATACTTGTCTGTAAATATCCGTTGGCCGCTCTTATTGGTCCGGAAGAGCTGAGCAGGTGGAAGCCGGTGAACTTAATTGAGGGCAATTAGACGGAATACCAAAATTTTTGTAACCCTTTAAAAACAAAGTTGACTAATGAGGTGCGCATACTTTTAAATTGCAAAGAAAATTATACTTTAGATATCCAACTGATCAGTGTCCTCTGGTAGTTCTGGCGATGATGGTGCAATTTATGTGGGGTATTTTGTCACAGGTAAATTTTTGAAAGGTTTTTACCTTCTATGATTCGTCTGATTTTTATCGGCCTGCTTGTCGAAGTTGCTCGTATTTTCTAATTTTTATTTTCAGACGCTCATGGCTGGTGTGATCTTTTCAAAGTTGGCCAGACCGATCAAACGAGCGGCGACGCTCATCTTTAGGTGATTTTTCTATATTTTTACCTATTTAATGCACCGCCAGCCCATGCTGTCGATATTTCCCTTTCTACATCATGACTGTAGTTACAAAAAGAGCAATTTTGGCTGTGAGGCCAAAATTTTTAAGCTTTATTTCGTTCCTACCAAAACCAATACCTCGCTGTAGCCCCCCGAAAAAAACTAATTATTGTTTTATCGCCTGTTCACGTTTTATTTCTCCCAGAAAAACAAAGGTCGTGAAGCCGGTGGGTGTCAGCGGGGTAATTGCGCCCCGGCTTTCGCCTGGCCACGACCACACCGCCGGGTGATGGCCGCCTTGAAAATGGGCGACAAATGAGCCCCGTGGGGTAGCTTTCGTTTCTTAGGGACCTCCTTTTTCCAAGCCCACGATGAAAGGGCGTCAAAATGGGCACATCATCATGGTCGTGACGGGGTGGGGCGATGGTGAACTCATTTTCGGGTCGTGTGCCAAATGGAAAAGATGGGGTGGCTGGGGACTGGTTTGGTTTTGAGCAGAATATATTGTTTTTGGTTTTCATTAGGGTTAGAAATGGAGTCCGTAGTCGTAAATCTACTGATACCTTCAGGGGTTGAGTCAAAGTGAAGTCAAGGTTCGAAGTCAAAATTTGAGTGTTCGAAAATCCCACAAACTGATTGGTTGTGAAAAAAGTGATAAGTGTTTGTGACAACGAATTCTTTTTAGGGAAAAATAAAAACCCTGCTTGTTGCGCCGGCGTAAAATATGAGTCGTAAAGCGCGCAATACCGCGATCTGTTGACTCATATGACAATGTTGCAGATTAAGAAAAGCTTATCTCCGAATTTTAATCTTTCTGCCGAAACAGAGGACCTAATCCACCAATTGTCCTAAACCGCGGCGGAAGCAATCTTCCGATTTCAGCCATTTTTCTAATCCCAAACCCCAGCCAAGGCGCGCTCGTGTTTTCTAAACAAGCTCACTGGCTCATTGTTCTGAGACCCCCGCTTGGCACACGCGGCCCGGAACCGCACATAAACTAGGCGAGTGTGTGAAATGACTTTCCGGGAAATCAGGGACACGAAACCATGCAAAACCTCTTTTTTCAGCAAAAACGCGGTAATCTGCATGAGGGACGGGAAGTTGTGCCTCCTCTTCCGAGTCGGAGACATGAGGAAGAGCTCGTTGGCTGAAGCGCACGTTCGGTTACAGGTGACGGGCAATTTCAATGGGGTTTGCGATTTCCATAAGCAAAGTGTAGATCTTTCTTCCTATAACTTCTAATAGTTGGATTTGTTCTATCTAAAACAATGATAATTTTTACTCATAATTCATGACGTTTTCAGATGATCAAACGTTGTATAACCTACGAGGGAGAGTTGTTACCATTTCATCAATTTGATATGGACGTCGGGTATGTTTATCCCTTCGCTATATTTTTATGCAAATTTTTTAGGTATGACGAAGGGTTGGATCGAGTCTTCGTAATATGGCCCATCACGATATGCCATGAAATTGACGAAAATTCACCACTCTACGACGTCAGCAAGGAGAGCTTGATGACGGCCAAATTTGAGATTATTGGTATGGAAACGTAAAGCTATCTACAGGATGTCCCAAAAAAAATAAAATATCGGTTGGCAGTGATGTCCGATTTTGACGTTTTAGGTATCTATCGAAAGCTCTCGACGAGAATGTTCTTTCCGATTTTCGAAATTCCCGAATTTTTATGACATTTTCAACATTTTTACGAAATTGGCTGAATTTTCGCTGCTTTTCCCATGCAAGTGTTTTAAAAAAACCCCCAGTTTCCTAATTTCCACATTTTTTGGCAGCCCAAGGTCGGCCTTTTAAAAGACATTTGAGACAACACAGCTTGGATGGGACTGAAACCGTTTAATTGGGTTTTTGCACAAAATTTTGGAATTTATGCCCAAAAAACGATGAAAATCGGTTTAAAATTCGGGAATTTCGCAGATCTGCAAGAACGTATCTCCTCAGCTCGTCGAGAGCTTTCGATAGATCTCTAAATCGTCAAAATCGGACATCACTGCCGACCGCTAGAGGGGGGTCTTTTTTTGGGCCACCCTGTATATTCCGTATTTTTAGCGATATTGGAGGGCGTTGTGGAATCGGTGGGGTCGACAACACAAGCAAGGACCAGTTATCTTCCAAATGAAATTTTATGGGGGAAACGGTGAGGGAAAAGTCAATATAGAATTAACGTATCACAATTTACGAAATTATGATAACTAAGTTCTTTTCAGATTCGAGAAACTGGTGCACTACAAAAAAGAAAACGGGCAATACCATATTGATTTCCAAAAATTCCACAATGTCTATGATGTGAAAACGCCACCATGTTCAGCGAAGGAATTGGATGAGATGAGGGTGTGTTAACTGAAACTTTTGGTTTAGTTGATACATAGTTAAATATATCTTTCAACACCTTTAGACCGCGGGCACCTTCAACGAAAAGGAATACCAGATCTACCATCACGATAGCCAAAATGCACTGAATATCGACGCGATGGAGAACATTCCGGAGGTATTTAGGGCTTTACGATTTAGTTTCTAGAACGTTTCAAAGTCTCTACAGCTTATATATTTTTAGGTAACTCTCACTCAACCCGAGCCACCCCTCGTCAATAATATCAGTGTTGCCGTCAATAGTACTCCACATGTGGTAGGTTCCAAACATTCTGCTAAAAGTTTTAATCTAGGTATTACGAGTCGAGTCGGATGACGAGAATAGCGGCGAGGAGGGCACCGGATTGGAATTGGTGGGTAACTGTACCTAATAAAAATGTCGATATCTAATTTTCTTTTATTTCTTACCAGCGCCCAAAACCCGCTTCGCGGGCCTTGGGCGCTGGAATGCGGCCTCTGCATGATAAATTTGACTTTCCGATAGCTCGGGTCGCGCGGACCCCCTCCCCCCGTCCGACCACACGCGCCAGTGCAACTTGCAAGCATGAGGAAATTCCTATTTTTTCACTTTATGCCAGTAAGCCCTCAGGGACCCCAAAAATGAATAAAACCGGCTTTAACTTTATAAACTTGTATTTTATCGAAATTCTGAAAACGCCATCGGAAACAGAAGAGTCGATTCCCCCATGGACGAAGAATTAGGGCATTTTATAGGCATTTTACAGGCTTAGGCTTGGGCTTAGGCTAATAGAGGTCGACCATGGAATTCGGTCATATCGATAGGCTAACGAAAATTTTTTGCTTTTTATTTTTAGTATATCATAGTCAGTAAGCTTTCATAATCATCACCTTACTCTTCTAGCGCTCCTTACACAAGATCAAGGTATACCTTAAGGGACCAGGTCTAATTTTTTATTTGCATGCTTATATAAAGATTTTTAATAATAGTTAGGTAAACGTAAATGAAGGCTCTCGATTTTCAAAGCTTTTTAGTTTTATCTGTAAAATCATGATACTTAAGTCTTTCTCTTCTGCTCATTCAGCGCTTCTTTGGTATCTTGGCTCCTTTTAAATTTTCAACCTCTCGACTCCTCCCTCCTTTTCCAGGTGGAATGCGGCGGGACGACTCGCCACAAACGCTCGATCCGCTCGATCTCGCCGACCTCGACCGAGTTGATGCCTTTGCAGAAGAAGATTTCCTTGGTCCGGCGAGGGCACGACGTCTTCTAACAGTTCTGATATCCATCCACCCATCCACAATTCTACCACCAATACGTGTGCACTTTCTCTCTATGGTCCTACACACGAAAATAGACACAACTTCTCGGTGGCACACTACTTTTCGAGTTTTTGGCGTCGTGGTGTCGCACAATTTAGGCTGTAGTAAGTCGTAGGAAAGACATAGATTGATAAAAACCATAGAAAACCATAAAGCGATAAAAATAGTAGTGGAAATTTATACGTTTTTATTCTATAGAAATTCAGGTGACATAAAATCGGCATTTACCATTACATATTACGCAAATTTTAGCCTTGTCATGACAATATAAATCTACTTTAAATAATTAAACCTCGTTGCTTTATAAGTTAGCAAAAAAATTCAGAACTTAAACATTATTTCTTAGACTTTACCCTTTCTTGCGTGAAACACCACAAAAACCGCGACGTGCCGTTGTTCTAAATTACCGTAGTCGTGTTTTCCCGTTTCTGTTAAAATCCATATTTTTTTCTTACAGTACGCCTCGCAACGAATCGAAGAGTCACGACATCTTTTACTCTGGACACCCGTCAGGGATCGTCGCGATAGTTCTCCAAACGTTTTATAAAAACCATCCCTCTCTAGCTTGTCATTCACTTGTGCCTTTTGCTGGTTGTGATTCCTTCGTGAAATCGGATATCCCACTTTATTAAATATACCTACTCTTTGTACATTTGCCGAGTGCAATCTTTTTTCAGAAAAAAGCTATACGGTTTGCTCAAATTTTCGAATTTTTAAAATTTCTAGGCGTACTTTAGGGTTTTCCTTTCCAGGAACCGCTAAAAATACGTACATATGAAACCTACAGGACCCCTAAATTGGTAATTAATCCCCTTCCATTCTGGTCATTCATATTTCGGTGTTTCTAGTCCTACTGTATTTTTCCGGGTTATTACAGGCATATTGTAGATGGAATGATGAAATAGCGATAAACGGATTTAACGGATGTATATATTTTTTAATGTTATAATTGATACTAATTTCAATCAAAACAAGACCACCACGAACGCCCGATTGGAGTGATAACGAATTGTAGTTTGGCGCCCGGTGGAGTGTAGCCTTTCGGAGATCCCTGATAAGCAGATAGCGGTCCCAATTTTGCGCTGGATTTCTGTCTTTTTTTCTAAAAATTCAAATTTTAAAAATAAATTTAGCAATGTCGATCACCACCGAGAAGAAGGGTCCAATCTTTTTCATTAAATTTGACAATGTGAAGCGCAAAAATGCGATTAATCACGAGGTAAAAGACGGATACACTGATCTAAATTTGGATTAGATGTACAAGCAATTAGTTCTGGCTACGGAAGCGGCTAATGACGATGAGGATACCTTTATTACGGTCTTTACTGGTGAGTTTAAATTGTGTTTTTCTAATATTGCTTGTTATTAATTAAGAAGAAAATTGATGTAAACTCTAGGTTGTGGTGATGAGTTTTATTCGTCTGGAAATGACTTCAGCCCGGCGGCCGGCAATGTACCGTGAGTTATATTTTGAAAACACGCGGAAATACGTCGTATTTTTGCATGCGTTTAATACCTGGCCATTAAAAAAGAAAAATAGATATGCTAAACTAAATGCGAAAGGGACGTGTTTTTTTTGTAGTGACATGGACGAAATCGACCCGCAGCCCTTGCACAAAGTCTGGACGAATCGGTTGATCAAACATAAAAAGGTAGTCTTGTATTACCTAGTAATTTATTTTTTTTTGCTTAGTTTAAGATTATGATACGGTATTTCCTCTAATATACCCCCCTCTAATATAACCCCTCCCTAAAATTTTTGCGCAAATATGCACTCAGGAGCGAAAAAAACGCAGTAAAAGCTGAATTATGCGTAACATTGCAATTTTGAGTAATTTTACGCCTTCTTTTGCGAAAAAGAATTTTGTGTTTTTGGTCCAAAAGCGATTATTTTACCCCCCATTTTCGAAATTCTCGTCGATCAAAAAAAATATAGGCCCCCTCTTTTATGATCCCCCTCCCCCAATACAACCCCCTCCCACAGGGTGATTAAAAAATATAACCCCCGAGGTTATATTAGAGGAAATACGGTACCTTAGCATTCACCTTCATTTCCCCAAACGCCTCCCATGCCCTACAAACCCACTACTTCCAAAATTTTTACGGTAACTCCCAGGGCAACGGCGTAGCTCTCGTGAACAACAGACAAAATATCACGTTGCGCCATCTGGATGTCACCAAAGTCGGGTTTAGCCCTTCCCGTCATTCGCCTCGAAAATGGGTGCGAAAAATAGGGACTTTGGGTGGAGGGGTGGTTTGGACAGAAATCAGGGCTATGGCTGGAGGGCTGAAGGAGATGGGATTTTTTGGAAAGGGCATGCATGTTTTAGGCACTGATCGCCCTGGTGAATGGGCCGGCGATAGGCATCGCTTGTACGACGTTGGCGCTGATGGATCATGTGATCATCTCCGATAAGGTAAAGGCGGCATTTTAATACGGTATCGAAGATACAGAATACAATACTACAAAATACAGTATGCGCCATACGTAATTAGTAGTAGTTGTTAAAATTTTTGTTTAAATTGGATACTTCAGAGCAAAAATGTTTATTTTAGAGTTACTTCCTCTGCCCGTTCACGCAGTTTGGATTGTGCCCGGAAGGAGCTTCGAGCCACACTTTTGAAAACATTATGGGTCGGGCCAAGGTATCCTATTAAACGGAATAACGACATCATCCACCATAGGCCGGATCCCTCGCTCTCTTCGCCGAGAAAATGTCCGCTCAAGAAGCTTTCCAATGTGGCTTTGCCTCCAAGATCGTCCCACACGATCGCTTCCGTGAGGAGACCGGCAAGCTGCTTGAGAAATACGCCAAGTTGGCTCACCACGTAACCCAAAAATGATTAAGGCTAATTTTATTTTTAGAGCGTAATTGCCTCAAAAGCCCTTCTCCGTCCTCGTGAAATTGTCGACAAGCTAATTGCTGTAAATGAGCGCGAAACCGAAGTCCTTCGCGAGCTTTTCACGCATGAGGCCACCGTCGAGAGACTGATGGCCCGCTTCGTCCCGAAGAGCAAAATGTAGAGAAACACGATTAGTGGTCAATTCGTGAAAATAAATATGATTCCAACTTGGTTTATTGCACAGTTATGCATCCAACAATTTCCTCTGCAAGGCCCCAAAGTTCATCTTCTCGACGTCGTCGGTTTGCTTGGCGATGTCTCCAAGCAGCTCAGTGGCCTCGGCGACAAGGGCCGGGCAGTCAACTATCTAAGAACGATTGTACCGAAAAAGAAACATTTTAGAGCACTTACAAGTTTATACAGCGCCCCAACCATTTGCTCACAGCCCTCAATAAGATCTTTTTGATTCCTCCCCGCCGCTTCAGCGATTTCAGCAAGGTCCTCGGTAAAAGTCGTCTCTTTTTCCTAAGATTTGATAGAGGAAATTTGTTAAATAAATTGCGATAGTCTTTTTTTTTTTTTTTTTTTTTTTTTTTTTTTTTTTTTTTTTTTTTTTTTTTTTTTTTTTTTTTTACCGTATTGTCTTGCGCTTTCGTTGAGCTACGTTTTGCGCGTAGATGGATTATGGACCCAAGTTCTGTAAAGCGCTTCAATTCCGTCGCCATCCTTTGTGCAATCTCCGCGTCTTTCAGTAGCTGGATGAAGTTTTGGATGAGCTGCTTGCAGTGGTTTTCCTGATTAGGCTGTATGATCAGTTTTCTTAGATATCTCTCCTTATATATATCTCTCTCACTCTCTCTATCTATCTATCTCCGTTTCTCTCTCTTACTCTCGCTCTCACTTACCTCCTGGGACTTCATACAAGCTTCAAGCGTAGCTTTCGGATCTGCAGTAATCATTCCCAAAATCTTTGAAACGTCCGCAGCCTTCCCAGCAATGTCTGGATTCTACAAGAAGTTGTCTAGGCAAAAATCGATATCAAAGTACCTCCAATTCCCCGGCAAATATCGCTTCCAAATCTGATTTTTCAGCAATAGTTACACTTAAACAGTTGAAGCCAACGAGAATCGCCGTAATTCTGCACAACATTGTTCTCGACGAGGAATTAAGATAAAACGGGGGAAAATTTGGCTCCAAAGGGGTTTTTGGCAGTTTTCATCTTGTTGGTGGTGCCTTGGCTCAGAACCGGTTTTTCGTTTCTTTACTCTGGTCTAGTTGATGTGGGTACGAAATGCGGGAGTGAGTCACTGATAGACCGTGGGATTTCGATGGATTGGTCTAGGTCAAAAAAGTTCAAGAATTTCTAGAGTCAAGTGTCCAGCAGATTAGCAAATTTGTAAAATGTAATAAGTTTATTGGATCCTTAGAAAGGCCTCCATAAAATTATCTGTCTAATACGAGTACTTGTCGTTCGGATGGAATCGTCACTGAAGCCCTTTTTAGTTGACCACGCACCATATGGCCAAGTTTCAAGAACCAGAAAACACGCGCTTTTTTTGTTTTTCGTTTTCAACGCATAGTTTTTCTGTTTTTGCGGATTTGCTGGCCGGGCCTTGAGATAATAGCAAATGCAAAGAGTTCGCACAAACAGTGTATGATAATCCGCTAAAACGGAGTCGCTGCTTATTCAGATAATTATTTATCATCGTGATTTCCGGATGATGATGATCTTGTGATCCATCCGCAAGATTACGGTAGCTAAGCCCTATTGATGTCCTAAAAATGCTTACATAAAATGCACTTGTTTGCGAATGATTCCCAAAGATCACTCATCAATTTGGGAATGAATTGCGCAGGCGAAAAGCGTAAGATGGGATCAGGCGTATTGCGCCCAAAGATTTCGCGTAAACACCGTAGTAATGGATTTACGGATTTGTGCGGAAAGGGCATCCGGATAAGAAGCTGGAGGGGACGATGAGTAGAACTGCTTGTGGGGTACGGTAGGCGGGGGTGCTGGGTAGCGATTTACGCTGCAGTACGGCGTACTATCGGTAAGTTCAAGTTCGCAGAAGATAGTTGCGAAAGGAAATGTCTATCAAAATATCTAGTTGGCCGATGTATTTAACACTGTCTTTTTTTTCCCTCCCCTTTTTGTTGTCGCCGCCCCCATTAGGAGGGCCCCCCAGGGGCCCAAGCCCACCCCCTCTCCACCCAAAAACCTAATATTTTTCAAATAGCCCCTTCCCCACCCCCCCCCCTTTATATTTTTTTTATGGGTCATTCCCCCATTTTCCCCGGTCTTTTGTTTTTTTTTTTCTTCGGTTAAATTATTTTTTTTTTAAATTTTTTTTTTTTTTTGGTGGTGTGATCTTTGGGGGAGGGGGGCCCCCCGCCCCCCCCCCCCCTAAAAAAAAATGGGGATGATGGAGAGGAAAAGCGTTGATTTTTTGAGATTGAATGTGTCTCGACAGATACGCTCTAAGCCAAGCGTATCCCGATGTTTTTTGTACGCATTTTTACGACGTGGTAGGTATGCGTTCGTAACGCGACGGTAGGCACAGATAGCTAGCAATCACCGAAGTTTTTCTGTACCTCACAGGCCCTTTAAAAGATCCAACGGCATGCAAAATCAAACACCTGAATTTTCAAGGCTCAAATTATGAATTTATACTTGCAAATGTATTTAACAAAGATTTAGGCCGATTTTACGATCTCTCTTTGAAATGCCTTAACATCAGATACCTTCACACATCTCCAAAACTCAACCCCCTACTCAACATCAGCTCCCTCACATTTCCTAAGGTCCCCCCAACTTGCCCTTTCTTGGCTTATCATTTGGCGTGGGGGTCGGCAAATCAGAATGGTCAGCCCTAAAAAACGTTTGCGTTATCAAGGGATAGTGTCTCGAAGGGGTCAGCACGACAGTGGACCAGCCAATGACCATCCCATCCAGTGCCATCTACACCTCCTTACGCCACCTGGAACTACCCGGCGCGATTTTGATAAGTAACGGTATGGAGCTGGGTCAACCGTTTACTCCTTTTCCTTCCGGGTAAATTGATTGCTATCGATTTGTTTGTGTATATTTTTATTTGGTTTAGTTTAGTTTTTTATATAGTTATCATAAATTAAAATCAATGAATGAATGGGCATTTAATAGATAAAAGGCGCTAAGAAACGTTAAGAGCTAAATCAGTGTTAGATCGGTGGTAGCCTTCTTGCCACTATAACTTCGCTTCGAAAATCAGGAGAAAGAAACACGAAGTTTTTGGCTGCTCTCTCTCTCTCTCTCTCTCCCTCTCTCTATCCCTCTCCCGCTCTTTAGAGCTCTATCTCTCCCTATCCCCCTGTCTCTCTCTAGCTTTCCATCTCCCTATCACTCTAATTTTCCACTTTTCCACAAAACTGGACGTCTAGCGCTACTTCAGCCCATTGGTCACCCCTCCGTCATCACCTACCCCGTCTAGAGTTGCATTTCGGACAAAAGCGTAGTGCACACCCGACCATCCCTTGGTATGGAATGGCAGGGGCAGTCCACCAAGTGTGCCCCCTCCTGCGTGGGTCGCGCGAGCCGGTGTGTCTGTCTGTGTGTCTGTGTGTAGACGCGCGTCTGTCCCCTTCCCGTCTCCAGCCTCCTTCTATTGCACACTCTCTCCCCTGTCTGCTACGGTAAGTACCCCTGGTCCCTTTGGTGGGCGACGCCCGTTGCGCAATACACGCCGTGCACCCCGCGCGCCCGCCCGCGTCTCCCACGAATGCCGATGCTGCATCGGCTTGGGCACACCCTAGCCACCCAAAAAAATCCATAACTTCATTGGCTACCAACCTGTTGGCTTTCTTCTGGCTAGACGGTCTTTTTTTTACTGCCGCGACCTACCGTAACCCCACAACTTTGATCCTCGTGAAAAAGGATCAATTTCGCAAATTTTGATATTTTTAGGATTTCTGGATACAGTCTTGCATCATTTCCTGGCCGCGCTTGCATATTATTGTCACTATTTCACGTCTATGTATTTTTCTGATACGTAAGCTCAAGGGACTTTTTGGTTAGACCGGTCTTGATTAGATTTTTTAGACTATTCTCATTATCTTCCGGTCATCGAGTTTGTAAGCCCGAAGTTAGAGGCCAGTTAGAGTAAGAGTAAAAAAAAAATCAATCTCGCAACCCTTAAAAATGTGCTGCAAAATAAGCCCCAATTTTTCGATGTTTGTTCGCCTAGCTGCGGTTTCGTGGCTTCTCCCAAGCCCAGCTTCCAAATTCGGTTTTTTCCATCACCCCGTGGCCATACGGTAGCTTTCAAATAACTCTTTTCTAACCCTCTTGAAGATCCCCCGACACTTTCCGACCCGTACCCTGGAACATTATACGCTCTCCCAAAAATTCTATATAAGCTATTTTTGCGTAGCCGGGTGCAATTATAAGTGCAGCTGCGCGGATGGCGCGCCCAAAACTGCCCTCATTCAAACTCAACGTTTTTTTTCGGACCAGGGCTCGTACCTAGCGAGCTGTTTTCCGTTTTTTTATGTCGGCGCGACCTTTCCGAAAAGCACCTGTGGACGGACGGGTGTGTGCGTGAAAGACTTATACGCTGAGCAATCAGAGTTTTAAGGAGGAATTGGGATTGCATAAGAGAAGCCATTGATTAATTCATAAAGTTACTTGGTCTGATGAGTCAATTTTAAAGGGAGACATGAGTATTTTTTTGTTGGTCATCGTTTCTCTCGAGTGGTGAACGCACCCGCGACACGCGACGCGCTGAGTTTTCCGTTGCATGACCGATCACATCAGCTAAAGGCTAAGCAGCGGACGCGTGGCGTGCCGGGAGCCAGAACCGACAAAATCCACAGTAATGCCTCGCAAAACCCTTTAAAACGATCCTGAAGAGTGTTACCGGTAAGCGCAGCCCGCAAATACCTCCGAAAATTCATGCCGACACCCTTTACGATCTATAGTGCGCAAAACTTCCTAAAATATCGCCTCCCAAAAGCCCTGATTT